GCTCAAGCTGCGTGTTTGTTGACATTTTGCTGTAGATTCTTCAAAGACATGGCTCCTGCAAAGGCAATGAAGGCTACCAAGGCCAAGAAGGTTGCTATGAAGGCCATGAAGGGTCAGAAGGCGATGTCCAAGGGAGGCCTTGCCACTGAGTTGGCCAATGCCACGGAGATGAAGAAGAGTCAGATCACCAGCATTTTGAATTCTTTGGCTGAGATTGGTGCAGGGGAGGTGAAGAAGACTGGCAAGTTCACTCTTCCAGGGCTCTGCATGATCAAGACTCGCCAGAAGAAGGCCACCAAGGCAGGCAAGAAGATGATGTTCGGCCAGGAAGTGATGGTGAAGGCACAGCCAGCGAAGACTGTGGTGAAGGCATTTCCGGTGGCAGCTTTGAAAAGCCAGATCTGAAGCCATGGTTCTTTAGGCCATGGAGCTGTAGCCGAAAACGGCTAGTGGCACCTTGGGGGATTGGAGCTGAACTAGTTGTTGGAGGCACAGCCTGTTGTACACTATCGCTGATAGCAAGTTACGCTTTGAGAGAAAGAGACACACATGAAGCTCTTTGTGCTTCTTTGTTTGTGGTGTGAGTAAAATCAGATATTAGACCGCAAAAGATACTATTGAAGCAAAGGTGACATGATAATTGGCTGTGGAATTGGCACATTGTCTTGTCGCAAGCTTGATGGACGTGTTGTTTTGGTATTTCATGGTACCAAGGTGGGATGATGTTGGACGTACTCCTGAGCACTGCTAGTTGGTCTGGCTCAAGCTGCGTGTTTGTTGACATTTTGCTGTAGATTCTTCAAAGACATGGCTCCTGCAAAGGCAATGAAGGCTACCAAGGCCAAGAAGGTTGCTATGAAGGCCATGAAGGGTCAGAAGGCGATGTCCAAGGGAGGCCTTGCCACTGAGTTGGCCAATGCCACGGAGATGAAGAAGAGTCAGATCACCAGCATTTTGAATTCTTTGGCTGAGATTGGTGCAGGGGAGGTGAAGAAGACTGGCAAGTTCACTCTTCCAGGGCTCTGCATGATCAAGACTCGCCAGAAGAAGGCCACCAAGGCAGGCAAGAAGATGATGTTCGGCCAGGAAGTGATGGTGAAGGCACAGCCAGCGAAGACTGTGGTGAAGGCATTTCCGGTGGCAGCTTTGAAAAGCCAGATCTGAAGCCATGGTTCTTTAGGCCATGGAGCTGTAGCCGAAAACGGCTAGTGGCACCTTGGGGGATTGGAGCTGAACTAGTTGTTGGAGGCACAGCCTGTTGTACACTATCGCTGATAGCAAGTTACGCTTTGAGAGAAAGAGACACACATGAAGCTCTTTGTGCTTCTTTGTTTGTGGTGTGAGTAAAATC